GATCAAGGACGATAGTCAAGGTGCTATAGCCCTGATCCGCAACCCCATCACGTCAGAGCGGTCAAAGCACATAGATGTGATCCACCACTTTGTTCGAGAAAAGGAGAGTTCGGGTAGTGTATCGTTCCAGTATTGCCCTTCTCACGATATGGTTGCAGATGTGCTGACGAAGCCGTTGGCTTTGGTCAAGTTTTCGAAATTCCGAGAGTGCATGGGAGTTCGTTGAGTTTTCTTCTGGGGTGTGCCAGAGTTCTGTCCGCGGGGGAGTGTTGATATCTCGTCCAGAACTCCTGCATATCGTAGTTTGGCGGGATACCTGTACTGGTTCTGGAGCGGATTTCCGAGATACACTTTGTATTTATGGCAGGGTCTTGCCTTTTATCCTCGCTCTAATCCCAGACCTATGTAACGTATAACGAGGTGATCGCTCTGTATTCGCTGCTTAGTTTTCAGTCTACGTATCTAATTGCACACTGGCTGCTATTGCAAATCGCGCGTCCTAAGGGGGGAAGGACTGTTATGTTCGAAGGACGGCCACAGCAACAAATTATAATGCTGTGGTTAGAATGGCAGAACGTACAAGGGTGTTCTGTCAAAATGTCCATGGCTGGGAACGTGCACCATTGGTTCAGGTTCATAGCGCAGGAGTTCAGCTGCACATTCCGGCGCCAACATTCCACGTTGGGTGCGCCAAAGTGCTACGATAAACAACCTGATAACATTACATCAAGCCAGACAGTCCAATTGGAATGCTTTTGAGTCGACTTGGACTTCTGCGCAAGAATTGCTCCTATGCACTATAATGTGCAGAGTTACGTGGAGTTGTGCCACAACAAAACAATACAGACTGCAAACTTTCTCAGAGTTGTGCATACTGGCTTGGGAATGCGGTGCGGCATGATGCGGCCAGCATCTTCGCGCCTTGCAACTTCAGCTCAGTTTGCATGAATATAACCAATAAAATATCGCAGTACTAGAGAAGCAGTTTGTATGAGGAAGTAACATGAAAGCTTAACAACTAACTCCAGGGTGGGCCTCACTTTGAGCCAGGACCCCCAAAGCGGCTTGCTGTTGATAACGTTTTGTTGGCTTAGATGCGACGGAGCGAAGCGACCGGATCGTCTAAGGCTGGTTCTGTGGTGCTGTCGTACAACTGGGTCGCAGTGGCGACTTCATTCTTGCTGCTCTCCTGGTGAAGTCATTATGCCTTCACGCAGAAGAGCATACAGCCTTGTCCAACTAGTCAGCGTGACAGGCTGTGCTTGGACCCCCAAACCGG